ATACACAAATTCCTAGAGGAAACTAATACTCGAGGATTATATTGCAACCCAGTCACCTGACATAAGCCTTCAGACAAATTATATAATTTGTTTTTAATGTGCTCTTTTACATCTGAGCAGTAAAGAACATATACACATGTTTTTGTTTTTTTTTATTAATGCCAGTGTGTCATTACAAAAAATAATTTGCACTACAGACTGTTTGACTATGACATTGATACAGACGTTTGTGTTTAATTATGTGAATATTTTTGTCATTTTTGGTAAAAAGTGATATTTTCGACTTCTTGTAAAAAACGGCAAGTCCGATTGGTTTGATATTAAATATACATGTACTACATGTAGACCTCTCTCAGATTTGTTCATTTCGTGATGATATCTTCAATTCTCTAATTTTGATAAATATTTTTGGTAAAAAATGATATTTTCGACTTCTTGTAAAAAATGGCAAGTCTTATTGCTTTGATATTGAATATATAGGTACTACATGTGGACCTCTCTCAGATTTGTTCATTTTGTGACGTTATCTTCAATTATCTAATTTTGATGAATATTTTTGGTGAAAAGTTATAGTTTTTCGAATTCTTGTTGAGAACAGTAAGTCTGATTGTTTTGATACAATGTACTATACATATTGTTCAATTTCTAATGATGTCTTCAGTTCTTTAATTGAAATGTGCATTGCTAACAGCGGAGCTATCTCAGCCGACAGGCTGCTTGTCTTTTAAATTATGTCGATTGAGATGATTCCACATTCATCAGCATTGTTGCTAACAAGAAGCTATTTGAATGAACCTTGCAACACCAACAAAATTAATGCCAAGTCTCAATGTTCCTATAATCACCTTATGCTAGTTCCAGCACCAATTTCATTTAATGATGGTTGTAAGTGAAATATTGGATCCTGTATCCAATTTATCATGGTTTTTTTTAATTCTATATTTTAAATGATGCTGATATAGTATTGTGGCTCATGCATACATGTTGGTATTTTATGATATACTCTACAGCAGTGGTGATGTATTCTTTAAATACAACATTTTATTTCTATATACCAGTAATAATGATTTAATATGTGTTATCCAGAGAGAAAACAATCAATCATATTGCCATTCCATGCACATACTGTAGCTAAAAATGATTCTTTTGTTTAAACAAAAACTAACCTTCCAACGTACAGGTGATCTACATTCATTTCATCAAATAACAGATTAAAATATACTAAAAAGCATAACAAAAAAACAGTCCATTCGCCTTGAAAATTATGTACAGGTAACTGTAAATTTTTTTTTGTGCTCATGTACTATAGACCCAACGATTCAAGAATGTTGGTTGCTTTGGGCGAATCTCTCGAGAAATTGGAACGAATTCAAGCTGCTAAGAAATGTTACTGGAGAGCGTACTCCGTGGGTGATGTCGAGGGACAGGCGCTGATTAAACTAGCTAAGTACGTTTTGGTTATGTCTTGAGAATATGCACCTTACATACCGGTATATGGTTTTAAAAAAAAAAGTCGAGAACAATCGGAAAATATTGTAATCTTCGGTTTAATTCTTCACTGATGCACATCATTTTGTTTTGATATCATTTAAAATGGCTGACTGGTGGCCATTTTTCTTAGCAACATATTTTTCACTGGATGCATTTTGTTTTGTGATATCATTTAAAATGGCCATTTTTTTAATGACAATTTTTTCACTAATGCACATCATTTTGTTTCATGATATGATTTAAAATGGCTGACTGATGGCCATTTTTTTTTTCGATTCATTTCTCACATACACTTTCACAGATTTTGTTTAGATTTAGCGCAGAAACAAGACATAGTGTGTTGGATGTTCTTTTCAATAGTACTGCCAAATTGTTATTACATTCCCATATGCTAAAGGAAATTCGTTCGTACTTATTTTTTATTTTTTTTTTGTACTTTACAAAAAATCCTACAGGAACAATGTTATTAACAATGTTTTGTAGTGTGATTTGGTCAAAAGGTCTGACTGGCAGCCGTTTATGACATAAAAATGTTTAAACCTAAAACTGAATGTAATCCCATATTTAACTTTGCTAATTCAGGCAAACTTGTTACGGATATTAATAAAATATTTTTCAATGAAAATGTGTTGTGTATGATTTTAAATCTCAAATGAACTCTTAAATAATTAACAAAGACTATTTTTGCTTATGTCTGTTGTATTATGATGGCAGAATTTAAGGTGCTAGTTTGGTTTTGTTGTAGGTTGCATGAAAACTTGAAAGAAGAAGAACAAGCTGCCACATTTTATGCCAAATTTGTTGAACAGTCAGAAGTAATGGGAGTAAGTAAATAAAAAATAGAATTAAAACACTGCCAGGAAAACTGCATTACACTGCCCTCGGTGGTCAATTTGAGAAATCTTTTGTTTTCCCAAACTTCAATTTTTTTCAGCACCACAGTTTTATTTTTCAGATTCAGCCAGCATGCCACATATTAAGACAGGTCGTGACATATAAATGTTCCCAGGAAATTAACAAATTCTTGCATGGTACATGGTCAAATTAGGTTGACAACGTATAGTGGCTCTCAGTGTATTGTGAACATTGTTATGCAAATCTACCCTGCTGTAGAAACTAAATATTTAGTGATTTGATATTTGGATATATGCTTCTCAGAGGTGCATAGATACAGTAATGGCTTATATTCACTTTACAGTCATACCTACAGAACAGAACCCACAGCTACAGTGGTCAATCAAATAACACTATTAAACATTTTCTTCTAGACTGTGGAAACTGAAGAACGATGTCATGCATATTATTTCTTAGCTGATTATTACATGAAACAAGGCAGTTATGAAGAAGCAAGTAGTTATGCTCACAAGTGCTGTGCATACAATGAGGTAAGAAAATCAGTTGCTGGTTCATGGGTGACTATGCAAACCTACACTTTAGTACAAATTATAGTTGTGGTGCGATACCTATATATGTAACAGATGCATGTGTTTGACCAGGCCTGGTTGACACCGGATAGTTCATTAAAATACCATTGTGATCGGAAGATTGTTACACTTGTCCAATAGTCTCACCTTACCAAAATTCGGAATTCGGGCGAATATAAACTGAGCCGGCGATTCAACTAAAACAGATAAAAATCGGCCCCCTAATAATAGAAAGCCTTTACCGTAATGGAGTCAATCCCCAATACTGTATTTCATAGATAATCTCAGTCATAAAAACTGCAACCTATTCTCCTGTCGTGTGTAGCAACGGAGCTGAAAAATATCTGCACCCGTTGGTAGCGGAAACAAGAGAGAATGAACGGATCAGGCCTCGCACGCACAAGCACCCTAGGGTTGAATTCTTAGAAGAGGCCTTTCCTATAGGGAATGCCACTCTAAGGTGTTTTTGTGGACCCGGGTATATTCCCTAATAGTTCCCGTCGGGGCTGTAATCTGTAATTAAGCCTAACGAGTAATAAATGAAATTTATTATTTCCACGGTAAGTGATGTAGTAAACTTTGAATATGGTTTCTGTGGCAAAATGCATGTCCACTCAGACAAAACAAACAGTGACATTAAGTATGTGCAGTTGTCGCCTGCCACAAACAAATAAATATTAGAAGTAAACGTTCTATTCTGGCATCTCTTTAAACCTTTGACTCCTCCAGGATGTAAATATTACATCATATCTATTTTTCTTAATAATGTGTATTTTGTTATTATATTGCAGACGAAGGAAAATGGAAAAGCTATTCTAAGACAAATAGCAAACCTTAGGGTCACATCTGAGGTCTCTAAACCCGATGATAGCCCCTCGGAACATTGTATGAAAGTATCCAATGAGAACACACCAATGAGAACAGGAATATCACCCATGGATTTAACATTCACACCATAGACAACTTCATTGTTGACATGAACTTGACATCAATGGATGGGATTACTATCATAGACAACAGTGGATTCAATGAGATTCCCTAAATGTACGCATTCATGGACATGAGCTTTACCAATAAACAACAGTGGATTCAAAGAGATCTCCTAAATGTACACATTCATGGACATGAACTTTACCCATAGACAACAGTGGATTAAATGGGATGCCCTAAATGTACACATTCATGGACATAAACTTTACCCATAGACATCAGTGGATTCTATGAGATCCCCTAAATGTACACATTCATGGACATAAACTTTACCCATAGACATCAGTGGATTCAATGAGATTCCCTAAATCACAGTCCCTCTATCCCCGGT